CCTCAATGGAAAGCATATTTACACTGTTTGAGTCGTTCCCTGTCCCCTATATAGTGCACTACGTGCCATTCACTGTACAGAAAATACTAATTCTGTGGACAAGTGACCGATTTCAGCCGTGGCTTCAGCGTCTATTTTATAGTGTAGAGGGCGGGGCTTCGGATTCTAGAGAGCATTTGATTGGACAAAGTGTGATGAGAAGATGAAGTACGATGTGACGTCAGAAAAATCGTTGAGCCGTTTTGGCGGAAGTGACGAACTGCAAGCTTTGAATGCTTATATCTTCTAAATGCGAATTTTGTCACTGTTTTGGAGCACACTGCCTTATAGATAATCTTAAGACTAACATATTGATACTAACACCCAAAAAACTTTCATTTTGATTTCATGGGGACTTTAAATCACTAAAAACAAAAGCAGTCTGCAGATTCCCTCGAGCAAATTGAATGCTCAGCAATACAGATTTTTGGTAACACTTTACAATAAGATCTCATTAGTTGATGACAGTTAATGCTTTATGAACATTAGATTTGTTACAGTATTTATTATTCTTTGTTAACATTAGTTAATAAAGATACAACTGTTCTGTAAGTTCATCTTTAGTTGTTTCTTGTTGTTAATTCATGTTCAATAATGTAGTTAATTTATGTTAACAAAAGGAACCTTATTTTATAGCGTTACTGAATGTTTTTACAGGACCTAATCATTCAATAACGCTATAAAATAAGAACATTCCTGTCACAAATGTGATTAGATTATTAAATAGTTTATTGATGTTTAATAGCATTTAATCTGCGATTATTTATTTTATTTTTTGTACAAAAAGAAATCATGTAATTCTATGACTTCTAAATTCATAAACACTTTTGCTGGAAAATTATACCAGCACATTTCACAACATTAAGCACATTTTCCTACACTATGCTGATTGCTATCAAAAATCCACTTTTAAAGGTGTAAAAAATTGCACAATTGTTATGCATTGCTTTATGCATAATCAGAGTACATTTTTCCATTTAATGTTGAATTTCTCATAGATATTCAACTTGTTTAGTGAAGTGTGGTAAATTGTTTATACTCTGCAAGCCATACAGTTGTACGTGATCAACAAAAACAGAAGATAACTGGTCAAGTGACAGTCCTATCAACCATTGCACATTTCCAATCAATAAAAGCATTACAATTGTACCATGTGCACAAGACAACTGTAATATCATTGAACTTTTTGTAAGAACAAAACCCTGATGTTTAGACAAAATCATATTTTCCAAGACGTGGTGCATCGTAGTGGTTAATGAAGAGATGGTAGTTTCATCCAATATATAACCACTGTGCCAAAACACTAAACCTCAGGACTGAAGCTGTAGTAACACATGCCAGTACTGTAGCTTTACAAGCAAAGCCTACACGACCAAATATCAATATCTCACAGCTGATTGGCTGGTTTGATCAAACACCAGCAGACAATGAACACAAAGCCTGAACAGTGATGCTTGCATTGAGGGTCTCTGGTAACGCTCTGCTACTTCAGCTCTGCTGGGTTGATTCACACTATTAGTATTGTTTTACACTATTAGTATTGTTTTACACTAGTAGTTACACTGTAATAAAAATGCATCACCACATGGATACCAATTCATCTCGCTAGCCAGAAAACAACAATAAAGCTCCGTCCTGAATGAAGACGTAGCAAATAAAAACAGCAGAAATAAAAGAGAATCGCACCGTGTTCTTCTCTTCATCACTATGATCACCATCAGCATCACTGTTTGCATCTCATTTACGCGTTTCACTGGTTTCCCCTTGTGTGCTAGTCTGTTAGCTTCACCAACGTTACTAGATGTCAACGAGCACTGCAGCTAACGGCTGAGAAATCAACAGTAAACATGTTTAAAGTGTGTTTTCTACCGAACACACACAACAGTCGTGTATAAAACGACTTAAACTGAAACTATGTGTGACACATTAACACAGAATACTGCAGAAGTGAAAACGCCTTAGTTATCGCTAAATCGTGCTGAACACTGAAAGAAGCAACAACAAACAATGAAACTCACCGACAGAATGATTTCCATTCACCAACAGTCGATTAAAGCTGGATGTTGAGCATCGCTGTGATTACTTCAGCTCATTATAAGAGCAGCGGTGTGTGTGTGTGTGTGTGTGTGTCCCCTCAGTCTAGTGTCAGTTGGTACAGTCCTGTGTGCGTGTGTGTTTTTTTATGCTTGGACAGACATACAAATCCATAAAATAATGGCCAATTGTTATAAATTAAACACAAATGCATACACAATAAATTACAATTTGTTACAAAAGAAAGAAGAAGAAAAAGCAACACGCGAGTGAGTGCGCGCACGTTTTCGCTGTTCATATCTCAGACGTCATCATGCATGACCCTGTGTTAAAGGGGTCATATGATGCGATTTCAATTGTTTCTTTCTCTTTGGAGTGTTACAAGCTCTTGGTGCATAAAGAAGATCTGTAAAGTTGCAAAGATTAAAGTCTCAAATCCAAAGAGATATTCTTTATAAAAGTTAAGAGTCAGCCACACCTATCTAAAACGACTCGTTCTAACACGCCCCCACATGTCTACCTCACTATGTGGGAAGATTTGCATAACGCCTCCCAAATGTTCACGCAAAGAAAGAAGGCGTAACTTTTATTCTCGCTGTAGTATTGTTGTTTCCGCCGCCGCCATGTCGTGAAGACGCTGTGTTTCTTTGTGAAAGCGAAACTACTTTGTTTGGTCTTCCAAAAGAGGACACGACTAGATTTAGATTTATGGTTTTATGTTTACGCGGCGCGCCTAAAAACGCATGGAAAACGCTAGGCGCGCCGCTTTCTGCTTTTTTCCAAAGCGTTCGGGCGCTTGCGCTCCGGAGCCGTCTGCCGTTGCTAAGCAACCGTGACCTGCGCTCTCCATGAAGACGCGGAAGTTTCAGCAAAGGATAAATGGATTTGCAGCACTAAAAATCGCTTGCAGTAGCTCTGCTACTAAATTTATTTAAGAATGGCTATCCCTGTACAGCTATGATCAGCTGTTCCTTCATCTTGGCTGAGCTTTCAATGTTGTTACGGGAAAGGATGAAGCTGATTGGTTGGTTCTTGTCACATGACCCGCGGTGCGCTTGCGGCATTCTGAAAAGTTGAAATGTTTTTATCTCGATGCGGCGCGGACGCGCCTGGAAAAAGTGACCGCGTCGCTTCCATTATGAGCGCGCCTGCTGCATACATTTGAAATAATGAACTTGAGTGCGTAAAAGACGCTATATGTGAACGGCCCTTAAATCATTACACCAAATACACAAAATAATGTTCTTTTTAGCAACATCATATGACCACTTTAAGTCCAGATGTGAAATCTTCATGAGGGCTTTTCTGTGATAGCAACTGTTTAGGGGTGTGATAACATTTGTCTATATCTATTATATAACAAAAACAATTATAAAAAAATTTATTACTATTTGCATACTGTATAAATAAAATATTGTGGTCAGTAAAAGCTTTATTTGCTTCTTTTTATTTATTTATTTATTTAGGTAATTAGGAAAATTCTGCTTTGAAATGATGTGGATTATAAAGGGTGCTACCTATAAAATGGCTTGACTCAATTTATGCACTCACCACAAAAATTATGTTTAGAAACTACTTCGTACTAGATCTCATGTAGTCACACTTCTGGCAGATGCATGGCAGAAATATTGTAATTATATATATATTTTTTTTAAATACTAAATTATGGACACAAAAAAACGGTAAAAGTAAATATGAAGTTATATCTACAAACAAAAAATAATATTTATTTAATATAAAACTTTTTTTTAAATAAATAAATATATAGGCAAAAAGGTTAAGGCTTGGCGCTGTGTACTGCAAATACACTGTTGGCTCCTGTTACTAAATTGGCCGTGTTTGTAAGTCACTTTGGATTAAATAAATAAATGTATATATGTAAAAGAGGTTCAAATTGTAATTATCAAAAAGACCCAAAGTTCAACTTCCTGGTTTTTTTTTAACTTCTGGCCCAGTTTTGTCTGAAAGTTAAATCACTCAAGATTCAATTATTGTTTATTGAACAGTTATAAAATTAAGCATCATATTCACAACTGTGCTATTGTACTAAATATCAACAGCACTTGTTTGATATTGCTAAACTGAACATTGAACATTGTTTGAAGATCCCAGAGAAACTACAGCACTAATAGTTTCTATATAGGGCATGTTGCTTACATGAATACATGAATATGCACTGTAGTACTGTTGTACTGTTGCTTGGATAAAAGTGTCTGCGTAATTGTGTTTATTAATGATCAGTATTTGATTGATCACCACCTCTTTGTGTCTCTTTTTTCCTCTGGTAACTTATTTCCATGATTCAGTTCATCTGGTCTTAATTTAATATTAATTCTGTGCTGCTGTGATGTTTGTGTTGCTTTGGTAAGAAATTATCTTTAAAGCATGTTAAAACAAAATAACATTTCACTATCATGAATATTATTTTATCTGCTGTATTTGAGAATGTGACGATCTAAAAGAAGAATACAGTGGCCCCAAATAAGTATGTGGACTCTAAGTCATAACACTAGAAAACAAAATATCAAGGCAAGCGATCGGATCAAATAAATGCTTCATCAGCTTTTAGTGTATGTATGAAGTTCACCCAAGTGTCTGAGCAGAGTGACCACAAACTGTACAAACTGTATTTTGCTTAAAGTGTGGTTGTGCTATCATAAATGACACACATCTTGATATTTTCTCCATACATTTACATTCACTCATTTGTGACCCTGGAGCACAAAACCAGTCATAAGGGTCGATTTTTAAAATTGATATTTAGCAACCATCTCGAAGCTGAATAAATACTCTTTCCATTGATGTATGGTTTGTTAGGATAGGACAATATTTGGCCGAGATACAACTATTTGAATATATGGAATCTGAGGGTGCAAAAAAATCTAAATATTGAGAAAATCATCTTTAAAGTTGTTCAAATTAAGTCCTTAGCAATGCATATTACTAATCACAAAGTTTTGATATATTTACGGTAGGAAATTTACAAAATATCTTCATGGAACATGATCTTTACTTAATATCCTAATGATTTTTAGCATAACAAATCAATAATTTTGACCCATACAATGTATTTTTGGCTATTGCTACAAATATACCCCAGCGTCTTAAGACATTTTAAGTATGAATTCAACGTCCAAATTGGTTTTGAGCCATTTTACAATTCTCCAACTTTACAATTCTCCAAAGTAGGAGAAAGTAGGAAGATGAAAATTGGTCCTAGTCCATTTAATGTGAGGTATTCAGCTGTAATCAGCCCATCTGGGTGGAGAGACAAACATTACCCAGCATGCTCAAATCCCAAAGATGCTCTCTTCAAACCAGACTAAAACAGCACTGAGCAGACTAGACTAAGACATGCACATCACTCAGAATCAGTTATATGTAGTAAATAAACGTCATAAAACAGCATAAACCCATCAGATACACACATAAGCGTATCTAAATTCCCCGTGTGGTGAATAAATAACAGAGAAGCAGCATTAGTAAAAGCATATATACCTTCACAGGAATTGCAGGTCTAAGTCTGGCAGATGGCACCATGGCGGTCTGTGTTGCAATAGACTGTGCTTCTGCCGTCAGTGATGAAGTCTTCCCGGAGGAGCTGGGATGCAGCGTAGAACCCTCTCAAGGATGATCAGAAGAAATGGACAGCACCTGAGTTAAATATATGAGTGTCACAGCAAAGGGTCTGAATACTTAGGACCATGTGATATTTCAGTTTTTCTTTTTTAATAAATCTGCAAAAATGTCAACAATTCTGTGTTTTTCTGTCAATATGGGGTGCTGTGTGTACATTAATGAGGAAAAAAACTTAACTTGAATGATTTTAGCAAATGGCTGCAATATTGTTAAGAGTGAAAATTTTAAGGGGGTCTGAATACTTTCCGTACCCACTGTATATGTAGTAAATAAACGTCATAAAACAGCATAAACCCATCAGATACACACATAAGCGTATCTAAATTCCCCGTGTGGTGAATAAATAACAGAGAAGCAGCATTAGTAAAAGCATATATACCTTCACAGGAATTGCAGGTCTAAGTCTGGCAGATGGCACCATGGCGGTCTGTGTTGCAATAGACTGTGCTTCTGCCGTCAGTGATGAAGTCTTCCCGGAGGAGCTGGGATGCAGCGCAGGTGTGTATCCATACAGCTTTGAGGTCCGCTCGATAACAGCAGACAGAAAGGACGTCCTCTCTTTCACTCCAACTTCCTCTTTCTGTTTGGCGCTGTGCACCCAGTTCATGTGCGGCTGCCGCGGCTTGCTGGGGGTTACTGGTGGAAGAACAAGAGGCTTGGGGCTCAGTTTAGGTTTGATCCCTGGATTCCTGGCGTTAGTGTCCGATCCCGCTTCTGAATGGAGGAAGCTCACTCTGCCAGCAGAAGGGAGTTCGGGGCAACAAGGACTCATCTGGCTCATGATTTCAGAATTCCCTTGACGTAAAACCCAATTAGGGAATTCTGTCCCATCTAGTGTGGACTGTGACAGCTGTCCTGATTTTGATTCTCAGTGAAGAGCTGTAGCTTGAACAGTGCAGTAATCCAATACAGGTCAATACAATTATTCTTAATATTCTAATATTTTAGCGCACCTCCTGGAACAGACGGGTCTAGGTGACCCCTGGCTCTCTGGCTCTGCAGATGGTGAATCAGAGGGATCTCTTTCTGTGGGCTGGTAGGAGACTGGCGCTGATGGGCCCTGGAGGGTGACTGGAGCTGGACGGCCGCAGAGGAAGGAAGTCTTACCATGATGATGATCTCCTATTTCCTGTAAGGATGGCTAATCTTTCTGTGTTGGGTGAAAAGCTCAAGTTTCACAAGGATCGGGTCCCAGGAGCATAAGGGCCAGGGTGGCACTGGTCCACCCAGATTGCATTTTTTTCACATAAATTTAGTTAGAGAAATGGTTTATTTCAAAGAAGAGCATTTTAACATGATTTATTAGACTATGATGAATTGAGTACTGCAGTGATGATGTATTTTTGTGGACCACCCAAATGTTTGCATCACCCTTGTTTCACTAACAAAAACCCAAAACCATTTTTCTATTGGCTTTTGGATTATGGCAGAAAATAAGCTCT